CTCCCGACACCACTCTTGGCGTGCTCGGCATCCCTCCAGGAGTGCTCGACACTCCTCCCGGAGTGCTCGGCATCCCTCCCGAAGTGCTCGGCACTGCCCCAGGAGTGCTCGGCTCTACCACTGGAGTGCTCAACACCTCTTCCCCAGCGTCTCCACCACCGTGGATGCCAAGTGCTCGATGACAAAGGTGTTGGTGAAGCCGCCAGCTTCCCCCGTGCTCGGACTGCTCCAGTCCTAAGCCGCCTCCTCGTCGAACACGATGTCGCGCGAGACAAGCACCTTGTCTCCGCGTGGGTCGTAGAGCCGATACGCCTTGGTACCCTCCGCGTAGCCTAGGAACACCATCGGTGTGCTCCTATCCTCTATCTTGGTGAGGTTCGGCTTCGTCTTCCTGACGTGGCCGATGCAGCTGAATGTCCAGAGGAAGGACACGCTCAGCTTGCGCCCATACCAAGCTTCGAACGGCGTCTTGTCCGTCAGGGCCTTGGTCGGAGAGCGGTTGAGAATGAACACCGCCGTGGTCACCGCCTCTCCCCAGAACCTTGCCGGCATGCCTTTGGTCTTCATCATGGATCGGGCCATGCCGACCACCGTCTGGTTCCGCCTCTCCACCACGCCATTCTGTTGTGGCGAATACGGCGCAGTGTGGTGTTGCCCCACACCCTGATCCACGCAGTACGCAGCGAACTCCACTGAAGTGAATTCACCGCCGTGATCAGTCCTCAGCACGCGGAGCTTCTTGCCGCTCTCGGCCTCCGCGCGCATCTTGAACTTCTTGATCGCTGCTGCCGTTTCGTCCTTGCTCGTCAGGAGTTGCAGCCACATGATGAGACTCAAATTTCAAAAAATAGAAAACCCTTCAATACGATGTCGGATAAAGATAATTTTTATATGTAAATTGTAGACCTCGATGAGATCTACAACTTTATAGTTTTAATTTTTTTCATTTGAGGACAGTAAGATGCTCAAAAAAATAATATAAAATTTCAGCACCATATTTTGTCGTGTGATGAGACTCAAATTTCAAAAAATAGAAAACCCTTCAATATGATGTCGGATGAAGATAATTTTTATATGTAAATTATAGACCTCGATGAGATCTACAACTTTGTAGTTTTGAGTTTTTTTATTTGAGGACATTAAGATGCTCGAAAAAATAATATAAAATTTCAGCGTCTCCTGAAAATATCAAAAGTTACTGTTCACCCGCAAAACCGAAGGTTGAAAGTTGAACGGTTTCAAGAGCTGGAGTGCCAAAGTTATTCGGTTTTGAAGTTCGAGGTTGAAATCTGGACTTTGGTGAAAGTTGGAGGGTGTAAATTGGACTTTATCCAAGTTTAAATGAAAGTAACAGAAATAGAGTTCACATGATATAAAACTAAAACGCTCATAACATCTGGAGCTAAGCTAAAGGAAAAAGGAAACTTCGTTGCTTCAGGCTTCCAGATTTTTTGAAACTTGGAAACACCTCTGAAACCAGGATGTTTCTTTTCATTATCTAAAAATGGGTTTAGTTCAGAGTTCCCTTTCGTGGCCGACTCTTTTGTGTGATGGATACTCCGTATTCTCATGATATGGCAGTACTACTTGTGAGCTTAATTAGCTAATAGGTGGGAAATACAAGAGGCGGCTACTGCATGATGGTGGATTATTCCAAAACTCATGATAATGCTCAGTTATGTGGAATCCACAGCAACCAAAATTCAAGTATCAGAGTTCAATAATGATAAGACACATGGACATGGTTGGATCATAAGACAGTACTAGTTTTCGACATGAATGTGACCAGGATCAGAGTCCAATAGTGATGAGACACATTGCCTTGCTAAAGCTGCAATGGTATTATAGTCGTCATGTTTGCCTGCTGCAGCCACCAAATGTTTTTATTGTATCTATGATCATTGTTGTTGATTAATAAAATTCACTGCTTACTTAAATAAAAACCTTCCACTGCGCAGCACGGCCTGTAAAAGAGAAAAAACGGCCTCAAACTAGCTAACACAAGTGAGTCATTGTAAAAAAAAACTAACACAAGTGAGTAGTGAGAAAAAACGGCTGCTGGTAGCCATCTGACAGATCATCAATAGATCACCTATCCTTTGAGTTAAAGGTCTCTCTTTTTTTCAATTTATCTGCATCATCCATTTCCCTTAGTGTTATATACTTATTGGTGTGGACATCCACAAGACAAAGAAAACCAACTAGAAGAGACACAAAATCCCTTGCTTTCGAGAGAATAGCCAGCGCAGGCATACTTGCAAGCTAAGACTGTATAGGGTTGGGAGGCATGGAAAACAGATGCTATGGACTCCTGATGCAGCATTCCTGGGAATTCAACTCCTGATCTGGACCAAACAATGCATGAGCAACTTACTGACTAAGAGAAAATTGACAAACTGGGAACCGAATTGCAATCATAGATTCAGGTCGACAATTGATAAGTTAATCTGGATCCTCTTCAATAGGACGAAGCCAGATATTTCATTTCATTATCTAAAAATGCGTTTAGTTCAGAGTTCCCTTTCATGGCCGACTTTTTCGTGTGTGATGGATACTCTATATTCTCATGATATGACAGTGCCACTTGTGAGCTTAGCTACTAGGTGGGAAATACAAGAGGCGGCTACTGCATGATGGTGGATTATTCCAAAACCCATGACGATGCTCAGTTATGTGTAATCCACAGCAACCAAAATTTCAAGTATCTGGTTCAATAATGATAAGACACATTGCCTTGCTAAAGCTGCAATGGTATTATAGTTGTCATGTTTGCCTGCTGCAGCCACCAAATGTTTTTATTGTATCTACGATCATTGTTGTTGATTAATAAAAATTCACTGCTTCCTTAAATAAAAACCTTCCACGGCGCAGCACGACCTGTAAAAGAGAAAAAAAAACGGCCTCAAACTAGTTAACACAAGTGAGTCATTGTAAAAAAAACTAACACAAGTGAGTAGTGAGAAAAAACGGCTGCTGGTAGCCATCTGACAGATCATCAATAGATCACCTATCGTTTGAGTTAAAGGTCACTCTTTATCTTTTATCTGCATCGTCCCTTTCCCTTAGTGTTATATATATGTATTGGTGTGGACATCCACAAGACAAAGAAAACCACCTAGAGAAGAGATACAAAATCCCTTGCTTTCGGGAGAATAGCCAGCAGGCGCACTTGCAAGCTAAGACTACAGGGTTGGGAGGCATGGAAAACAGATGCTATGGACTTCTGTCGGATATCAGTGCAGATCATCCAGATGCTTCTAGAAATTCAGAAAACCAATGCTCTGTGTAAAGAAGAGGTCGTGTTAACATCAGGCTGTTGGTATTAAAATAATTATGCTTTTAAAATAATCTCAGTTTCAGCCTCAGAAGAAGTATCACGCCTCCCTTATTACATGAATGCAATAATATTTCATCTTTTAGATGTTGGGAGTTTATATCCTGAACTGTTAGAGGGTTAAATTCTGAAAAGTGTGGAACTCTGTCGAAGACAAAATTTGAGAGGCTGCCTGTGTAACCTGTTTGCAAGAAACTAAGAAGGAAGATTTTGATTCTTACTTTTATATATGATAAGTATCACCCCTCCCTTGTTACATGAATGTAACAATAACCCGCAAGGATTATTACACACACAGACACACACACACACATGACTTATATATGCAGCGCAGACACAAATACATGCATGTATTGGTATCGGAAAGATTAAAATACAGGGGTAGCCAACCACCAAACAGTTTTGAGACTGAAACTGAGCAATCCTACCAGATGGCGCTCTCCCCTCCCACCTCCCTCTTTGCCCTCCCCAATGGCGCCCTCTACTGATCTCCTCCTCCAACCATAGCTGGACTCTCGGATCTGTGCTTCGATCCCGGGATTGAGTTCGCCAAGCTGGTCTCTCAACGCTTCGGCCGCTCGGTGAGTCCCACCATCCCCTTTTCTGAATCGGCTTTTCATCTAGTTGTGAGCTTTGGTCGCTCCGCCATTCGTTTTTTTTTTCTCGAACACGCAGGAGAGCTGCGTATCATTGTATTAATAGAAGAAAAAGAGAGTCATACATAGACCCGACCCCCCCCAACACACACACACCACTACATAGACACTGGATCACCGGTTAAGAATGCCTTGGTGGTATTGCTAAGGATTTCAACGTTTTTCATTTGTCAGGGATGTTCAGCTTTTCTGTTTCTTGCAAAGATGTTGGAATCATGGTCTATAAGCTTAAGTGCTTCTCTTGCAAATCTTTTGCTATCTTCTTCCACCTCTGGAGTGGTGGTGGCCCTAATTGGCATAAAGAATATGATCTCCGGTGCATGGAGCAAGAGGCCGAATGGACCACTGTTGGTTCCAAATCCAAAAAAAGTTATGCAGAGGTTGTTCGCTCCTCTGGTGCTCGTCACCGTGCTGTGCCAAAGAGATCGGCCTCCAAAAGATCGGTTTTTCTTCGTTTGAACTATCCTGACAACTATCCCTGTAACTTCTCGGATGACATCTCTTGCTCTCGGATCATTCCCCCCAAGGATCGTCCTGATTCAGGGTCTTTTCCCTACGGTATTTCAAATTCAAATTTGAATTTCAGTTCTTCTCAAGGGAATAAATCCAGGCGTGTTCTTCGCTGGATTCAAAAGCGGCCAGCTGGCGCGCCGGGAGAAAAGCTGAATACGAATTCAAATCCCCTCCTTCCCAAACCGGTGACCCACATGGATGCAGGCCCAGCCCTGGTACATCAGTGTTGTCTCAAATGCTTGGGCCTGGGCCATCTAAGGAAGTTTTGTCCCAATTCAGTAAGATGCAGAGAGTGCTATAATTATGGTCACACATCCTGGACTTGCCTTTCCATGGCCCGCATTCATCGGCAATTTAGGCCGGTTTCCTACCCGGAAGACGAAGGGCCATCTCGCTCGTCGCCTATACACTCTGGTTCTCCCCTCGTCGCTTCCGCCTTCACTACTTCGCCCCATCCCAATTCACCAACAGTAGAAAACCACACCTCCACTGCAGCTATGGCGAACTGGGCGGTTGATCCTCGCCCGTTCGTGCCCAAGCGCTTCACGCTGGAAGAATCGATGCCACGCCCTCCCCTCCGCCAAGAGGTGTATGTGACTGGTTGCTACATGCTCTGCAACGAGGATCTGGCGATCGTCAAGCTTGAGCCGCCTGTCAGCAAGGAGGATTTTGGAAGCCTGGCCTCTGCCCTTCGGGTCTTCTTCCAGGAGACACATCAGGTTCGAGTTACTGAAATACTACCGTGTCCGCTTGGTGAAGCTTTTGTCCGTTTTGGAAGTGCTTTAGAGAGAGAGAGAGAGGTTTCTGGGTCCTGTTTTCACCTTTGGCAACTAATCCATGACCGTGGTCAAGCATGATGAAGCTAGCAATGCTATGGTTTTTTATTTGGACCGTGAAGCATGGGTTATGCTTGCTACTTTTCCTGAAGATGTCAAGAGTGCTTCTGTGATTGCTAGAGCTGTTTCAGGATTCGGTATCATGGTGGACTGGCATGAGATTGAGAACCTCGCTAGAGTTGTGGTGTATCTGAATGACAATGCCAAAATACCAGATTCAGTAAAGGTAAATGCAGGTCTCCCTCCTAAAGGCCGGTCTTGGACAATGCCATGCTATGTGCTGAAGAAGAAGAACATCACTGAACCACAAGATGAAGAAGCGTCTGTCACTCAAGGCCCTCTTCACCCAGTACCTCCACAACCACCTCGCTGGTTTGGGCCTGAACCACCTGCGGATTCTGAGGAGACAGCGGATGGATCCAATGTGGGATCTGCTATGCACGTGGACGGTGCATGGCCCAGTAGCTGGCAGGAGCAGTTGGCTTCCAGGGATGAGGTATTTGCTGTTGATCGCCAGCTCATGGAGAATGTGACATCCACAGAGATGAATCAGGACAAGTCAGTTCAGGCAGAGTTTGTTCTGAAGGCCCCAAACAACAGTACTAATGCTCGCTCAATGAACATAGCTGCAACACAGAATGCAGATCTGCCACCTGCTCCTAAGATCAGATCAGTGATCTATGGCCCCCAGCCTCCTGAAGATCCCCTCATTGCTGTGGTACCCTCCCTGCTTCGTGAGGTACTGAATTTTTTCACTACCAGTCCCTCCCCTGTCTTTCTTAACTGTCTATCTTCTTTGTATCTGAATCATGACACCATCATCCCTGATTATGTTAATGACCGTCGTCTCCTTGTCCACTTGGCTTTTATCCTGTTCCCTCAGATTGGAGGACACTCTTTGGAGAAGATTGCCTTGCAGTATCTGGATGAGGAAGATGAAGATGTTGACGTGGAGATCCTTGATGCCCCCCTCCTGTCTTTCAGACTCCAAGCAAGAAGAAGAAGACAGTGAAAGTGAAGGAACAGCTAGATGATGGGTTTCTAAGGCGTAGCAAGAGGATTTCAAACCTGCGCGGTGATTTCAAGGACGCTGAGAGCGCCAAGAAGGCCAAGCAGCCGACTGTTGATGATCCTGTTGAACCCATGCCCCTGGCCATCATCCCACCGTCCCAGGATGCTGCACCTCACCTCTCCAAAGAAATTCTGGAAGGTATAGCAACAGGTTTCCTCCAGATTCAGCCTGAAGCTGTCTCTGCTGCCCTCCTGGATGAAGACAATCTAGATGATTAAGATCAATAACTCAGGATCAGATGCACTGTGGTGTGTGCACCTCATAGCTTTTGTGGATCCACAGTGTCATCGTTTTTACTTGTTGGTTTGCTCCTGTTCCCAGCCTGCGAGCTGGATGATTTTGAATAAGAATGTGAATTGTAATAGCTGGTGCATAGGCACTACCAGGAGCCTTTGGTTAAACATTGATGGTGTTTTAGTTTATCCTATCAATAAAGCTATCAGTTTGTTGGCTTATGTTTTGCCTGAGTCACTGTTTTTTATCCTCTCTTTGTTGTCTACCTCTTTTGTTATCTGCTATAAGATATCTTTTGTCTGGCACTTGGATTGTCAGATATCTAATCTTGCTAATATTTCTACTCATGGATAACAATAGACATATGAAAATCATGTTCTGGAATGTAAGAGGCATCAACTCCCAGGAGAAATGGGATGCCATCAGGGACAAAATCTCAGAAAGTGCTTGCCATATTATCTGTTTACAAGAGACTAAAAGAGAGGTTTTTGACAGCTTTTACATCAAACGTTTTTGTCCTAGAAATATTGACAATTTTGCTTACTCTCCATCGATTGGTGCCTCTGGAGGTCTTTTGACTGCCTGGAATAGCAGTATGTTTGATGGCTCTGTTGTCCATGTCAATTCTTATGATATTACTGTCAAAATGTTCTCCAGACTAGACAACAGGACTTTTCATGTCAGTAACATCTATGGCCCCTCAAGTGCCCCTCAGAAACAGGGTTTCATTACTTGGCTCATGAATTTTGACACCAGTGAGTTTGACGACTGGATCATTGGTGGGGATTTCAATTTATCAGGCATCCTGACAACAGAAATAAGCCAGGTGGGGATTACTCAGAAATGTATATGTTCAATGAAGCTATTTCAGATCTGGACTTAGTGGAAATTCCTTTCAGTGGTAGAGATTTTACTTGGAGTAATATGCAAGATGACCCTCTACTGGTCAAATTGGACTGGGTCTTCACACCTTCTGCCTGGACTCTATCCTACCCTGCCACTTTTGTACAACCTTTGTCAAGGCCCATATCTGATCATATTCCATATTGGTAGTAGCATTCCTAAGTCAAAAATTTCAGATTTGAGAATTATTGGGTTCATCATGCTGGCTTTCTAGACACTGTGGCACTGCACTGGAACAACTCCCCAGTTTATGCAAATGCAGCCATGAATCTGAATTCAAAACTGAAACATGTTAGAGCTGGGCTCAAGACCTGGAGTAAAGGGCTTTCCAATCTGAATAAGCTCATCTATAATAGTAACTGGGTTCTTTCTTTGATGGATGGCCTAGAGGAGCAAAGAACTCTCTCAAGACTTGAATCAGCTTTCAGAAAACTTGTCAAAGCACATCTAGCTTCTCTGATGGAATCCAAAAGAGTATATTGGAAACAAAGAAACACCTTAAGATGGGTCACCTTGGGAGATGAAAATACAAGTTTTTTCCATACCATGGCAATAATTGCACATAAGAGAAATTTCATTGTTTCTCTTATAAATTCTGATGGCACTATTGTTACTGATCATGAACAGAAGGCTAGCCTCCTTTGGACTGCCTTCAAGGAGAGACTTGGGAAAAGTGAATTCACAAATTTGGCCTATAATCTTAGCTCTTTGCTGCCTGCCCACAATTTGGAGCACCTTGATGCTGACTTCAGTGAGCAGGAAATTGAGGATGTCATCAAAAGTATGCCCAATAATCATGCCCCAGGCCCTGATGGCTTCAATGGAACCTTCATAAAAAAATCATGGAACATTGTCAAAGGTGATTTTGTCAGATTATTTAATGATTTCAGTACTTCCAATACTAGCCTCAGAAGCATCAACTCTTCTATAATTGCCCTAATTCCAAAGAAGACCAATCCTGAAAAAGTTGATGATTTTAGGCCAATTTCCCTATTGAACTACAGTCTGAAATGCATTACTAAAATTTTGTCAACTAGACTACAATCAGTAATCCTGCAGCTGGTGCACAATAATCAATGTTTTATTAAGGGTAGAACCATACAAGACTGCCTTGCCTGGGCATTTCAGTTCCTACACCTCTGTCACAAATCCAAGAAGGAGATCATTATTCTCAAACTAGATTTTGAAAATGCATTTGATAAACTGGAACATCAGGTTATTATACAGGTTCTTAGAAGCCAAGGGTTTTCAGAAAAATGGATTGCATGGGTTGATAATATCCTAAGTACTGCCAGCTCCTCAGTCTTGCTGAATGGTGTCCCTGGTAAATCTTTTAACTGCAAAAGGGGTAAGACAAGGGGATCCCTTATCACCTCTCCTATTTGTCCTGGCAGCTGACATACTACAGTCAATCATCAATAGAGCCTGGCAGAATGGAGTCCTCAAGCACCCTCTTAGTGATGATTTTGGGGAAGATTTCCCAATATTACAATATGTATATGACACCCTCTTAATACTTCCAGGTGATGCAAGAGTTTTGTTTAATTTGAAAGGGCTATTGAGGTCATTTTCTGACTCAACTGGGTTACATGTTAACTTTGAAAGATCTTTCTTGGTCCCTGTAAACATCTCTGAAAGTATAACCATTCACCTTGCTAGAACTTTTGGTTGCAATGTTGGATCCATGCCTTTCACTTACCTGGGTTTGACACTGGGAACAACTAAACCTACTCTTCAGGAATTTGCACCCTTGCTGAATAAGATTGAAAAGAGACTGTCTGGGGTAAGTAGGTGTCTGTCATACAATGGAAGACTCATCTTGGTAAACTCAGTCTTCTCTGCCCTCCCTACCTTTTACATGTGTAGCCTCAAAATCCCCCTCAGGTGATCAAGCAGATTGATATATATAGAAAACACTGCCTATGGAGCAAGGGAGATATAAGTAGAAGAGGCTCATGTTTGGTTGCTTGGGAAACAGCCTGTAAACCCAAAGATCAAGGTGGTTTGGGTATTATTGATATCAAAAGTCAGAATAATGCACTTCTTATGAAATTTCTTGACAAATTTTATAACAAAGCTGAGATACCCTGGGTGGACCTAACCCGGTCTAAACTATATGCAAACACCCAAACCCCACCTCAGGCAAGAAGCCCTGTTGGCTCTTTTTGGTGGAAATAGATCATCAATCTCTTTGAGAATTATCAGTCTCTTAGTGTCTGCAGGCCAGGAAAAGGTGACAGCATCCTGTTCTGGTCAGGTAAGTGGACAAATCAGGAGCTACCTCTGAAGGATCTTTTCCCACAGCTATACTCTTTTGCCAGGAAACAGAAATGTTCTGTCAGGTTTTTTATTGACCAGGAAGTTAATCGAGTGTTCACCTTGCCTTTATCTCAACAAGCCTCAAACCAACTAGATGAAGTAGAAAACCTGATAGATACTTTTGTGGGTGATTCAGATCAGAAAGATAGCTGGAGCTATATATGGGGATCATCAAAATTCAGCAGCAAAAAAGCTTACATCAGGATGATAGGCCAATCTAAGGCTTCCCCACTTTTCAAATGGATGTGGGCTTCTAGCAATCTGGGCAGTACAAATTCTTTTTTTTGGATGTTGATTAGAGACAGGTTAAATACTAGAAACCTGTTGAGGAGAAAGAATATGGTGCTCGAAGATTATAGTTGTGTTCTATGCAATTCAGGGCAGGAAGAAACAAGTTTCCATCACATTTAGCCAAGCCTGTTGGAATACAATTCCCATTATTTGGAACCTATCCCTACAACCTCTGGATATGATAATAGAAGCAAGAACTTCATTTGGCAATAACATATTCAGAGAAATCTTCATTACAGCCCGCTGGATCATCTGGCTCACAAGAAATGCAGTCATCTTTGACAATGGACAGATTGACATCAATGCATGGAAGAGGCATTTCAGAGAAGAGTTTGGCCTTGTTTGCACAAAGGCCAAACCAGCTAGGCAGCAACAACTTAGACAGTGGAGAGATAGCTTTACGTGACTTACTATTCTCTTTTTTTCTTGGGCATTGTTGACTTGTAATATGTACATAACATTCTTTCATTTAATTAAAAAGCAAAAAAAAATATAGGTAGGGGGCTCCCCTGCCGTTCCGGTCAAAAAAAATACAGGGGTACATCATTTTATCCAAAAAAAGACCGATACGTGAATATGTTTAACATTTTTTAATTAAATAAAAATAAGACACATCAAAGTTGCAGAGTACTAGACAAACACAAGATAGTCTTATACCCATTACATAACCTTATCTAAAAATACCCATTACATAAAAATTCACAAATAACAACATAAAGCATTGGAGTTCAATAATTCATCATAGGCAATTGCAGATGAAAGTCTAATGAGTTCTATTATATAACAATGACATTATTAGAGTCTAGCTTGCATAATATAAAGGGCATCAAGCTTCCGCTTCTTCTTCTTCCTTAATTGCTTCGTTCTCCTCCACACTTTTAGCCTCGACATCACCCAAACCAAATGATACAACTTGCAACTCTGGCACATCAAGAGAGAGGTAAGCAACTTCAAGAAGACCCTATACCACCTAGAGAATCAAAAGAATCTCCTCTGCCATCCCACATCCTTGTCTCTCCTGTCTTGTATGCACTTGTTTTCCTTGACAGATGCCTCATATTTGAGTGGACAAAATATTTGAGTGGACAAATACCAAATCTTCAACACATGACGGGGTTATTAATAAGGAATTTCTTTTGACATTATGTAGGAAGCTAAATGTATCCAATTTCTTTAGCAACAAGAAATGAGGCTGTCGGACTCAACAATCTGATGGACAAACTCATCAATAGAGGAATAGATCGTCCATGATTTGTCCACCAAGTCATGGGGAAACAACCCATCTATCGTTGTATTGAATCAGGATCATTGAATTCCTATGAGCAGCTTGGGAATTTTGAGTACTCTTCTTTGACCCTAGTAATTCTTATGGTATGCGAAAGAACTTCTTGAAACAATTCATTATCATTTGTGATAGCTCTTTATCCTTGTGGGGTGGAACACAGCCAACACTACCTGCTTCAAGCCATTG